ACCAACACCAACAACACATGGAACAATTACATCATTATTAACATTTAATCAACAAGTAAGTTGATATAATACCAATATATTTAATGTTTTCAATAGATAATATTAATTGAATAAATTCTAAGAGATTCTTAAGGTTCTTTTTATTTTTATAACTTAATTCTGTACTGTAAATTAAAATCTTTTATAATTCGATAGAAAAATTTACAACTCTTGCTGAACGTTTTCAAATTTTACTCAGATTCATTCTTTTTGTTTTTTTGCTAAAAACAATATTCCATAATTTCAACTTAACTATCAATCGTAGTGTACTTCTCAGTCAGGACTTACGATGAATTCTCTCAAATAATTAATCATCTTTGACGTTAGGACTATGTGTATCATGTAGATCCAATTAAGCTATGAATGTTCTTCAGAAGTGTTCGAACTCTTCGTACGCTGCATTTTTGCGGTAACTTTTAAATCGGGACCGTGGTCATTCTCAGGAATACTAATTTTCGAATTGGAACTTGAAACTTAGCACAGTGAAAAACTTTTACAAGAATAGTTTATTGTGAAAATTTCAAAATCTTCTAATTTGCTCCTATCCTAAGATGCAAACGATGGTAAAAAAAAGAACGTGTTCTTTACATCGATCGTATATACATTAACAGATTCAATGTTCTTATTTCAGAATAGAAGCATATGAAGAGATCTAAAACTTTCATAATAAACTATTCTCATTAAAATCTGTCTCTATACAAAGTTTCAAGCTGCAATACATAACATCAGTATTCTTAAGCAAGATCACGGCATTGATTTGAAAAACACTACAAAAATTGTAATATCTTTGCAGTAATAAGTTGAGAGTCTTAACTAAAAAGTGATTAATTTGCATGAAAAAATTTCAGAACCAAATCTCTTCGAGGTATGAAACTTTTAAGGCATAGACTCTTCCATAGATGATATATCCAGCATGTATTTTTTTTTTGAAAACGTCATATTTCGAAGAGACTTAGTCCTGAAATGATTTTATGCATGCTAATCTAATTGAGATCTTTATGTAAGTGAAAATTCACTAAAAAAAAAACTCTTCAATCTCTTGAGAAACAGGTCACTGTTGAAAATTAAATCAACATCTGAAAATGTTTTCTCTTATAATAAACTTCTAATTTAATATTTAATTGGAATATATTCATTTTTCATCAATTAGATATCTACTGTTTCGAATACAACATCATTTTCTTCTCTATTCGATCATCAACAATTTGCACAATATCCATCAGATTTTACAACAGATACATATCCTATTCTACGAACATTATTATCATATCTTCTTGAACTTCTTATTGAAATTGGTCATGATCAAAGTGAATTACATATGAATGATAATCAACAACGTCTTGTACAATATTTATCTATATTAATACATTTTACACGTTATTCACCTGAAAAATATTTATTATCAGAAAATGATAATTTACATTCATTATGTTCATTAATATCACATCCAAAATTAACTGAAGATCATACAATAAATAATGGTAATAAATTATTAATATTTATTTTATTACAACAATTATTAACAGAAAAAACATTTTTAACAAATATATTAAATTATGAACATGATTTTAAACAACAATTACCAATGTGTTTAATTATTGTTGATCATGAAGATCAAGAATTAATATTATATAATCGTTTATTTTTATTTATTTATTATAATATATTAAAACAATTTTGTCAATATTCATGGTCATATTGTAAAGAATTAGCATTACATAAAAATATGTCATGGGCATTAAAAAATGTTTTACCATATGTACATTTATATCCAGATGCATGTGAACAATTATCATCAATATGTAAAATTATATCGCATACAAATCGTGATAATATTTCAATTGAAGATCAACAAATAATTCAAGAATTTAAAAAAGATTTATATATATTAATTTATCGTTTTAATGATATACGTTCATCATGGACAATTATACTTGATTTAACACGTGATATGTGTGATTTACAAGCATCACATGATGAACGTTTACAAATATTAAATCGACGTGGTTTACCTGTATTAACAACAATATTTTTTACAATATTTTCATTATATCATGATCAAACACAAACACAAATATTAACTATACAAAATGATTTAATTTATTTATTATGTTTAATAACAAATTTACTTGATACAGCTGATATAAATATAAAAAAACCACAAACAAATTCAACAATAAATATGCGTAATATTGTTGGTACACAATGGAAAGAAAAAATGGAATTAGTTGGTAAATTACTTTTATTACTTAATTCATATAATTCAAGTGAAATACGACAACGTGCTGTTGAATTATTAAAAAAAATTATTGTACAATTAACTATACAAGATTTAACACATGTTGCTTTACATGTTAAAACAACACATGAACAAGCTGCTGCACAATCACATCCACAACTTGGACCATGTAAGAAGATAAATTTTAAAGAAAATGAGAATAAATAATCTTTTTTTTTTTCTTGTTTTTAAAGATTTTCCACGAAGAAAACAACCAATAAATAATTCACAACAACAAGGTAATTTTTATTTAAGTAAAAACATTACAGGACAATCTTTTTTTTTTTGATTTATTCTGATATTGGAATTATTACGATAACTATTAATCTATTAGTAAGGAAATGGCTACAAATAATTTGAAATTTTCTTTACATATAGATCTCATGATACTTGTAGTGATGTAAATGTCACAATCAATAGGAATGTTTATTTTTCTAGATATTGAGTCTTCTTCATCATATGTTATAAAAATCGACTTTTCTTAAAAACTCACTATCTCAAGAAAGAAGCATTCGCTTTGCTCGCGATATTTAAATTGTTATAAAACTCATAAGATTTTCATGTGGAAAAATTTTCAGATTGAAATTCTACAATTTGAGTTTTTCAGTAAATCTCTTGCTTGATGTAACTCTTTCGTAGGTGTTTGATACAAATATGTTTCATGAATTTATTTAATTAACATTTAATTAAATAAACTATTCTCAGTTTAAAATCGATATCTATTAATAGACATAAATAAAATATTTCTGTTATGTTTCTATAAGAGAGTATTCAAATGTGTTCGATAGAGAAAACAATAGTTCGAAATGTTTGATGTCGTATTTAACGAATCATTATAAATATGATAAGAAAATTTATTACAAAGAAATCGACAAGAAAATTATATATCCATCATGAATATAGGACAAGCATATAATTAACATTATTTCTTCAAATCTAATTTAAAGGCAATGTTATTCAATATATCTTCACGAAGAAAGTTAATTATTATGATCTTCACATTTTTTAACTAAAAATTATAAAAAAACAATTCTTATACAATAGAAAAACTTCTTTAAATACTTAGATCCTTGATCTTCTACTGGCCTAAAAAGAGATTTAATATATATTCTATTCTCGAATTTTCTTTCAGGAACAATTGATCGTATTAGTAATCAACCAGTTCATACTCCATTTCGACCACATTTTGGCATGTATTTCAAAACTCAATTACTTGAAACATCAAAGGGTCGTGATTTAGGTTTGTTTTTATTTTTCATTTTAACGAAATCTTCATATTTTTTGAATATTCTTTAGATTTTGATCGTGCTGTTCATGCTTATTATTCACCTTATCATACATTTATTGATTCTTTAGCACGTTATGCTTATAATCAAAATTCTCTAAATGGTTCGATATTAAATCTTGTAACACTTGTTGCTTGTGAAGGTGTACAAAGTATGCATTTACATTTATTTGCTAAATTATGTCTTGAAATTTCTAATCAATCAAAAACAAGTGCACAAACATTAATACATGATTTATTACAAACATCATCATCATATTATTTTCATCATTATATTGAAATTGTTTTAATTGATGAACGTATATCATTATATCAAATTGATAATTATTCATTTCTTTATACATATTTACCAATGATATTAAATATGAAAAAAACATTATCAACAACAACAACGACGACAACAACAACAACAACAACAACAACAGCAATAAATGATTCCATACATGCATTTATACAACGTCTTGAACAATTATTAAATAAAACATGTGAACATTGTTTACAATCAATATATAATGAATCCCAAACAAATTTAGATTGGTTACAATCATATAAAAAATTATCTAAATCAATTAATTATTCACATATGCAAATTATTGGTGATATTAAAGCATTAGAAATATATTTACATTGTCAATTAAATAATGATAATAGTAAAATACAAAATATAATTGAACAAAGTATAAGATTTATTGAACAACATTTACAATTACCATTATTAATTGATGATGAACAACAACAACAACAAGAAAGTGAAATAACAACAACAATTGTTGATGATGAAAATAATCCAATAAAAAAACGACGTTTAGATGATAATAATTTAACAATTGATATAACAAATAATGATCCAAAACGTAAAGCAATTATGGATGCATTACAAATTTTACAAACATTTTTAACAAATATGAATAATATAACTAATGAATCGACCACGATTGAACAATAATAGTAGTTATTTCAAACTTAAAAACAAAATCAATAAAAACACGTTGTCTCGTCTTTCATTTTACTCTCGCACTTTCTGGTCATTGATCGTTACAACGTGTTAAACTTTTTCGTTCATTTTTCTCTTTTGTTTTAGCAGCATTGCATTGTATTATGTGGTGAATTCGCCTATAGAAAACATTCATTTCATATATATTCTATATATACATATATATATATATTTGTTGTTATTGTGCGTATTCCAGACATTGGTTATTTTTTCTTTTCTTTTCTCTTCTTTTTTTTCGGGGGTTCTTCACTTTTTCTCATACGTTTCATTTCTTTTTTTTTCTTTTGTGTAATTTCAACGAGAAAAAAACTCTTTGCTATTTTCTATGTATATACATGGAAAAGAAAAATTTAACTCAGAAAACATTTCAAACCTATTTATAGATAATATCCTTGATTGATATAATGGATTCACAAAATTCTGTAGAAAGTAAGAATTAGCTATATATTATATGTGTGCATAAAAGTTTTGTAAACTAATCAAAAAGAAACAAAGAAATCATATTTCAAATACTTCTCGTTTTCCTTTTCTTTAGCATTGACTATTGCTCTGATCGATACACTTTCGGATAAAAATGAGAAAGTACGTGATACTGTTGCTCAATCAATAGTTAATACTGGTAAAAAATTACCTCAACCAACAGTAAAACTATGTACGAATTATCTTGATAAACATCAAAAATTACCTGATTCACATCGAGCAGCTATCTTACGTGTTATTCAACGTATACTTAGTTATCATCAAGACAAAGAAGGAGAAATGCCATTTGATAGTGATACATTTCAATCACTTACTCGTGTTGCTATTAATGAATTAACAATGCCAAAAGTTTGTTTTTATACTTCCTAATTTTTTTTTTCGTTGTACTTTTGGAATTGTCGTGTTTGATATAGGACTTAATACCTTTATGGCAACAAGCTGCTTCAGATGTCTTAGTTGAAATTGGCAAATGTGAGCCTGATCTTGTTTGTACAGCTATTTTACCACATATGCAAGCCGGTCAATTACCACAATTTTTTGTTCTACAAACAGTTGGTAGTCTTGCTGAAGCTAATCGTAAGAATATTTCGTTTATAAAATAAACATAATCTATAGTGTGAAAGTCTTGACACAAAATATTCATCCAATATTTTGGTCGCTTGAATAGAACTGGCTAGAGAGAGAACCAGTTAGTTTTTCACTGTTTCCGAATGTGCCCAGAAATCCCTTCCAGAGTAAGATTGGGCAACTATCATCAGATTGTTACAAAAAGTCTAAAATAGTGATTGTATGAAATACTCTTTTGGTCAATTTTGTATTTCGATTGAAGCCTATCAAGTTCAAAATACGAAACAGTTTTTAATAGCTCAATTTTGTAGAGCAAATTTTACTCTACAAAGCGTGCTATTTACTTTTGTATGACAAATTTTAAAACTATTATAGTTTTAAAAGCAGTTTTTGAAACAGTGATTTGTTTTTTTTACCAATGCTTATTTCCATAGAAACTAGCTCTTTAGTAGAAACGCGTAGATAAGATTCCGCTTACTGTAATACCTAATACTGCATAGAATTCAGTAGCCTACAATAATGTTAAGTTGAAGCTGTGCCAAGATGCAAACTAAGGTCTACGCCAAAATTGCTATTGTGCTTTGTTCAGACACTATTTTAGACTTTTTCACAAAGTTTACTGATAATTGTTCGATTTCATCCGAGAAGGAAAATCTGAATATATACTCGAAAATCACGAAAACTTCAGAGCCTACTCAACTGCTTCTGGCTGTAATCAGTTGACTTTTAGTGGTCGAAAAAAATAATCGAATATTTGGTGCCAAAACTTTTTCACTTTAGGTTAGATATTATTTTCTTATCCATTTAGCGCGTGGTATGGTTCATCAATTACGTCCAATGTTCAGTCGTATATTACCAATGATGGGCATGGTTAAACAAGAAAATTATCGTTGGGTTTATACAGCAGTACTTTTTAAATTTTGTTTGGCTCTAATTGATTTTCAAGCTAATGGTGACGAAGCAGCACGTGTAATATTTGCTCCACAACAATATGAAAATGATGCATTTGCTGCATATGAAGTTTTTCTTACATCAGCTTGGATTGGATCAAAAGAACTTAAAGTATAATAAAAGAAAAGATTTCAATTCAAATATTTTTTTTTTGTTATGTTTTTGTTTTTCTAAATTGAAAGGTTCGAAATATGTGTGTACAAGCTATTGGTCGTCTTGTTTATTTATTTTCTTCAACAAAATTTACAGAACAATTTCCACGTTTAATACAAAATGTACTTGGATTTTATCGAAAAAATGTTGATCATTTATATGTTAGTGAAACATTAAATTCTGTTGTATTATTGGCTGATCAATGGAATGTACCACAATTAAAATCTTCAATGGATATTATTTTAAGAGAAGTTTTAAATGAAGTAAATTCATAATAATTAAATTTATTTGAATTAACTAATTCTTTTTCTTGTATAGATTCAAGTTAATTATGAAGCATTTGAAACTGGTAATGAACAAGCTATTAAAAATCAAAATGAATTATTACGTACATTATCAATACTTGGTAAGAAGATAAAAAGAAAAATGAAATACAAATAGAAAATTTATGATTTTATTTTAGGTAAACATGCACCACAAAATATATGGCCTTGGTTATTACAACGTATGGAACAAGCTGGTACGAATGATAAATTACGCATTGTACTTCTTGTTATTTATCGTCATCTTGTCTATGCATTTGGTAATGATGCACCATCAACACCATTTGATTATAAATCCTTACTTGTATCAAGTTTAAGACCAACATTAAATACAGCAACATTAAAAGTTTGTTTCTTTTTTTATGTTTTTAAAGTTTTTTTTTGTATTTGATTTTATTTAGATTACAAAATATTTATCACAATTAATTGTTGCTATGGCTTGTCATGGTTATTTACAATTAGAAGGACGAACATTTTTAATTGAATATATTGTTCGAAATTGTACATATCCTCTAACAACAAATGAAGATAATAAAACAGATTCAACAACAACAACAACAACAACAACACCTAGTGCTGATGTTCGAATAATGTGTCGAAATATTTTAAATGCTTTTAGTTCGACTATTACTGGAATGGATGAAGTAAAAAAAAAATTGAAATGTATCGAAATTTTTCATAAATAATGTTTTGTTTTTCTTTATTGAAGGTTTTATGGCCATTATTAATGGAATTTCTCGTACCGGAAATGTATACTGGTGCAGTTGGAATGATTACTAAAGCATTAGCACAATCTGGTCAACAACAAATAACAGCAAAAAAGGATACATTTTGGATTGATTTTGAACTTTTAGTTAATTTACCAAAACCAAATGAAATTATTACACGATGTTTTGTATGTATAACAATATATTTTCATTTGTTTTGTCTGTGTAAATTAATTATTTTGTTTTTTAAATAGGTTCTTCTTGGTGAACCATTAGTTGAAGAAACACGTGGTATATCAATACTTCATTTTCTTCGTATAGCTGTAACAGAACTTAAAACTGAATTAAGAGAATTATGGGAAAAAGTTATTCCACGTTTACTTCAAAATTTAAATGATGATGATGAAAATAAAAAATTTGATGCAGCAAATTGGCAAGATCTTATACTTAAAGTATTCATACGTTTTATTTTATTTTTATACACATTAAAAGAAAAAATATAATTTTTATTTAGTTTCTTGCAAAAACGCTTGATGTTGTTGAACGTGAAGATTGGATTAGTGATATAGGTACTTGTTTTGTTAAACAATTACCTTTATATATAAAACTCGGACATGAACGTGGTTTTGCTTATAAATGTATTGGTATTGTATTACGTAAATCAAAAATAAATGAATTTGTTAGTCGTACACTTGAATCCATGATGACAGTAATTAATTTTCACCATGAACATGAAAGAAATGGTTGGGCAACAATGTTTGGATTTTGTTCAACAACACATCTTGATATTGTATTACAACGACTTGATATGTATTTAAAAATTAGTGATTCAAAAAATCCAAGTTCAACATCAAGTGGAAGTGGTGGTCTTTTTGGTTTTCTTAGTTCTAAATCTGATACACATTCTGATTTAGCACGTGCAACAACTCTTTTAGCTTATGCTTATGTTTCAATATATGCAGCACTTGATTTAATTATTTCTCGTATGGAAACAAGTATACTTATTAATGCTGTTAAAATCGCTCGAACAATTAAAGAAGAAACAGGAAAATTAATTGTTGCAAAATCATTTGTTATTCTTGCACAATCCATGAATAAAAATCATTTGAAAACTGATTTTGTTTTTGCATCACGAAATGATCTTATACAAGAAATGATTAATTATGTGACACAAGAAACAAGTATTAAATTACAACCAACAACATTTAATCAATGTGTTCGAGCATGTCATGCACTTATGTAAAGAGAAAACAAAAAAATAAATAAATTACTTTGAAATAATCATTTAATTAATTTATTATTTTAGTATTCTTCAACCAGAACCAACACTTCCTGAGAAATATCAATTAGCTCGAGCTATGTTAAATTGGTACTGTTCGACGAAACTTGTAAGTGTTTTTGAGATTTTATTTTATTATAGGAATAAAATGTTTTGTAATTTAGGAACTTTTACCGAGTCAAAAAGATGAAATTTCTACATCACTTGGTGCATTCATTATTGAATTGCTTAATTTGGGTGATTCACATGAAACATTTCCTAGTCTTATTAATGTAAGAGAAATAACAAACATTAGAAATTTTTTTCTTATCCTATGCAAAAACGACTACATTTTTTTTGATGAAATGACTCAGATAACATCAAATCACGAATAATTAGTTCAGAAAATGAAACGAAATGTTTTATATTTGAAAAAAAATTTATTCTCTCTCTTTCTCTCTTATTTAGCTTCTTGAACCTTTTTGTCTATCACTTCAAAGTTATGAACGTGTACGTGCTTTTGATATTCTTAATCAACTTATTCAATCAGATTCAATGAATAAATTGAAAGAACAGGTATTCCAAAGAATATTTGAAAAGTATTCATTTTTATTGATTATGAAAACAGAATCTAATAGATGTTGGTGGTACTATGGCTCTTTGTCTTATGTATTTAGCCGATACCGAAACATCGGTTGAATTAGCAACAAATGCAAGTCTTACTAGATTATTACGTCTTCAAACACAACTTGCAACCGGTGATTTTTTTGACTAATGATATTCATAAAATTCATTGTATATTTATTGAAGGTGTCATGGAAAATTTAAATAGTGAACAGAGTGCAATTGAACAAGAAAAGTCAGCAAACGATGATACTATACAAGTGAGTATATTATTCTCATTAAAATTGGTTATATCTATTTAAAAATGAACTATAAACAGTACTATAATCTCACTAGACCTGTTGAAGATCATGATCAGGTACTGTTTCGTCATCTATTTCATTTTTATTCTTTTGAATTGGTTTTCTACGACTGCATCTATTTCTCTTAGCTTAACTTCTTTAGTTAATAATCAATTATTAAGAATGTATTAAAATGGCTAACTTTGACAGAATTTATATTAGTATAAACCACTTGCATTCACACTTCGCTTTTTACCTTATCAAATTGACTTGAAGATTGATAATTACAAAGCATGTTTTTTTTCTGCATATTTGTATAGAGTTTATCGGGTAATATTGAAGAACGTTGCCTTTTATCGTTTATCGAAAAAGCTACTGAAATTGTTGCTGATACAAGAGTAGTGGGCTCAGTCGTGGTATGCAATGTTCTTTGTAAAATATTCGATTGCCGACATGGTGAATTAGCTGATCAAGTAATGAATTATTCTTTATCTTTCACAATTTTACTAGTATTCATTTTGTTATTATTCTTTATCTAGATCGATTATATATTCAGTATTATGCTTAATAAATATAATCAAATTACCAATGAGGATGTCTTACGCGCATTACGAGGTGCCTTCAAACAACTTAGTTTGTCATGTTCATCTCGTGTATTTAGTACATTGATGAATTTTGGTGTACCATTCACTAAGTAAATTATTTTGAAAAATAATGCTATCTTGATTGTCTATTTGTTTTTTATAGAAATCTTGTGACCATTATTCATGATCTTGCCGATAATCGACCACTGACTGAAGCTGTTGTAGCGCAAATAATGGAATGTTGGTCACGTTCATTACCCTATGAAGAAAAAGGCTCACAACGACATGCTACTGCTCAACCACTTATGGCTTTATATTTGCTCAATGAATGGTTTCAATCAGATCGTATGTGTGATCTTGGTGAATATGCTTTTCCACGTTTGTTCGTTGCCCTCTTCATACGTATGGCTTCACATGTTGATACATTACCACCACAAAATGTACCACCATTGCGTCGTATTGCACCACCAAATGGTAGTTCTCGACGTGATTCAACAACAAGTAATGCCAATAACGTTTCTGTGCCTAATACAGCAAGTGCAAATACAAGTAGTACAAGAAAATCATCACGTCTTAGTATATTTGATTCAAAATCGTCTCGTAGTTCATCTAAAACATCATCTGCTTCTGAACAACAACAAAACAATTCTGGACTCTCTAATAATGAATTAAAAAAAATTGAACCGTGGCGTTTATCAAATGATTGTATGATGCATTTTCTAAAAGTTTATAAGTGTCAATCAGAAATTAATAATGTAATGCCTTGGGAAAAGATGACTAAATTTGATACAGCTGATTCAGCTCTTGAAGTGCTTGCTCAAGGTCTAGCACGTTGTAATCATATAAATCAAAAACAATTAAATGTTATTATTGAATTACTGGGACAGGTACTTGATGGTCCTTATGATATTCAACGTGTATGTGTATCAGCATTTTTTGCCGAACTTATACGATGTAATCCTGACGATAGTGAAGATCAACGTTTTGTTCGTGAACTTATTCGTTATCTATTGGGACGTTTAGTGGATCATAATATTTATGTAAGGAAATTTTGTTTACGTGGTCTTGGTTGGTGGCGACCAGTTCGTGATAGTCCAGATGATAAAGGTTTACCAACCACTATTCTTGCATCATTAAGTAAGACTACATATTTATATATAGATTAAATGTTCATTAGAAAATACAAGCTTCGATTTAATTTCGTTTTAGTTTCTGGTTTGGATGATCGTGATGATAAAAATGATCTTCTTACACTTGAAGCAATGTGTTCATTATCAAATGTAATTGCTGTTATGAATGAAGATGAAGTACGACCTATTCTTATGAATGTTCTTCTACGTATTCGACCTTGTTTTGAAAAAGTAAGAATATTTGAAATAAAAAGAATATTTTGTTTTATATATATATATTTTTTTTTGCTTTTTTTTCACAATTTATAGGATGAAGCAAAAGTACGTTCAGCAGCATTTACATTATTTGGAAAAATGGCTTCGGTATGTGAAGGAAACTCACGTGAAGCATTCGTTGAACAAATATTTTCGTCCTTAATAACATTAACACTTCATTTAAATGATCCAGTTGAAACAGTATGTGAAAGTTGTAAAACATGTTTTCAATCTATTGCCCCATTACTCGGCCAACCAACATTAGTTGAATTATTCAAAGAAACTCTTCAACCAAAAAGTGATTTTCAATATACAGAATTTATAAGTGATTTTGCCAAAATTTTAGTTCAACAATATCCATATAAAGTTAATTTTTTTATTATGAATTGTATAATCTTTTTTAAAAATCCTGTACCAGAATTACGTGCTAATGCAGCAATTGTAGCTGGTCATTTGATATTTAATTTAACTGAAGAACAAATTAATAGTCTATCCAAAGAACACATTTTAAATGGTAAATAGTTTTAAGTTTTTTTTATTTCAAATAGAAAAAAACTATATAATGTTTTGTTTTCTTTTTTTTCGTAGCATTTCTCGTTCTATTAAAAGATTCAAATCCTGATGTACGTTCCCGAGTGGCTGAAGCAATGCATTTTATGTATAAATTTTAACGTATAGAAACCAATGACATTGACCGAATATTTTTATTTTAATCTGTTCTTGGTGATTGTCTTTCATACTAGTAATTTTTATTTTATGTTCGGATGAAGCAATTTCTTTTGTGTGTGTGTCATTATATTTTCTAGTTATTGATAATCAATAGTTTCAAAGGTATTTCCATTTTTAATTTTTTAGATAAAAATTTTTTGGTTCAGTAATTTATCGAATAAAAACATGAAACATATTTAGAAAAATTCTTTTTATTGTAATTATATACATTTAATTTTTTTTTGTAATAAAAATTTACTAAATGAAAAGAAAGAAGAATTTGTTTCATTTTATATTATTGATCAAAATTTGAATATGTTCTTGCGTTTTTGCTAATATCTATTTTTAGATTGCATTTTCTTATCATTATGAGTTCCCGATATGCGGGATTCGGTAGTAGAAATGATGATAACGAAAGTAATGAAAATTTTGTTACCATTGGTACTCATTTTGATCCGGCTGAACCAACTAATAGTACATCGATTTTAGCTACATTAGGTAAGTAAAGAAAGGTATTCAATTGAAATAATTAAAGACTTTTTTTTAAATATCAGGCAGAAAAGCATCGAAACTTGTTGATCTTTCTTCATCAAATTATGGTTATGATGGAAAACGTTTTCATGGTGCATTTACTGGTGGTTTTAATGCTGGTTTTTATAATACAGTTGGATCAATCGAAGGTTTGATGAATATTGTTTAAGATAAGTTATTGATGATTTTATATTTATAGGATGGCGACCAAGTGAATTTAAATCATCTAGAACAGAACGAGCTGGAAAACGTAGTTATGAACCAGAAGATTTTATGGATAAAGGAGTAAGAGTGATAAGAAGATTAAAATAACAAAGAATCTTTCTTTTTATTTATAGGATTTTAGTGAACATGGTATTAATCCAAAACAAATTAAAATTCGAAATATATTTGATCAAAATGAATCTGTAACACGTAGCGTAATTAAACAACAATCTGGAACATCAAATCAACGTACTAATGAAGATATATTACGTGATATGATTCGAGTCAAAACGTAAGTTTCGTCTTTTTTTTTGTCTAAAAATTTTTCTAATTAAAAAATTCACATAGATTATCTATTGGTAAAAAAATACTCATGAGTATGGGTTGGAAACCAGGAGAAGGTGTTGGTGTTAAAATGTCTCGAAAACATCGACAAAAATTAAAATGGTCTTTAACACAAGAAACACCAAAAGATCGTCCTCCATCATCTCCAAAATCAGAAGAAGAACAACAACAACAACAACAACAACAAGAAGAAGAACAAACACCCGGTGTTAAAGTTTATGGTGTAGCAATGCCACCACCATCTTTTCAACAAACAATTAAGAAAACATCACGCTTAGATGATGACGATGATGATGATGATTATGATGATCGACTTGTAAGAGTTCTTTTTTTTTGTATATTCAATAATCTATCATTCTAGCTTTGTTTTGTTTAGTATGCTAATATTAATTTACCTCCATTAGATTATGAAGTACATTTTCAATTACAAAAACGTGAACATCATGGTCTTGGTTATAAAGGACTTGAATCATTAAATTTATTTGGTCATAATAATTTATTTGTTCAGCCATCAATAGAAAAACAAATTAGTAACGTTAAAATTCGTGGTCAAGTAAGTCAATTTATTATTATTATTATTATTTTATTTCTTTGATAATAATTTTTTTTCTGTTTCAAGGCATTTGGTGTTGGTATTGAAGAAGATGAAGATGATAAAGATTTATTTGCTGAAGATGATCTTAAACAATATGATTATGAATTAACAACAGCTAATGATAATACTACAGATATTATGCGACAAAAAACACAAGAAAATAATTTTGTATTGAAATTTGCTCGTTATGAATCTATTTCAATGTCTGTTGTTTATCCACCACCTATAATACCAATAGATTTTCGTATTGGACATCGTTTTCCTAAATCAGCAATGCCACCACCACCACCACCTCCTCCTCCTCCAGCAAGTCTTTCTAATGAAACATCAGTGAATGAACCACCAAAACAAATATCGATTAAACATGATGCTAATACCCGTGGTCTTCTTCTTGGTGATCTTTCATTTCTCTCTCGTCCACCACCAAATATGAGTGTTCCACCACCAAATGTTAGTGTATCACCTTCGTCAAAAGTAGAAGTAACACCAGTAAAACCAGCAACAATTTCCACGCCATCACTTGAATGGGACGTTGAAAAAGAACGTTCATCACATACAACTCCTACACCAACAAATACTGCTCGAACACAATTTCTCGATGCTATTAAAAATCGATTTACATCATCATCTGATCGTATAGAAATGACTGAACGTCAATCGTTGGAAGTTGCTCTTGAAGTAAAAAAAAAGAAATCTTTTATTTTAATTCCAAATAATATTTTTGAATATTATAGAGTGATTTAAAAAAAGCTGTTTCATTGAATCTCTATGGTGATTTAACTCGATCTACATCTGATTGGAAACCAAATCCATTATTATGTAAACGTATGAATATTCCTAATCCATATTCAGAGTAAGTTTATCCATTAAAAAAGAAAAAAAAAATTAATATTATCATAATAAATTGTTTTAGTGATGCATATGATGATTCAAAAGAATCGAAAAAATCTCGACGACAATTATGTTCGAATCTTTTTGAACATCTCTTTACACAATCATCTACAGATTCATTAACATCTTCTGAGCAATCTTCTCCAATTACAATACCACCACCATCATCATCATCATCATTAATATCGAATACAAATGAAACAATTATACGATCATCAACAATCACACCAGTTATTCCACAAGTACAACCTTCTTCAGTACCAAAATCAGAATTTGCTCCTATTGAATCATTTGAACAAGTAAATTATTTAAATAGTTTTTCTTTTAATAATAATAATAATTTATTTTGAATTCTTTTTTTTTTTGTTTCAGGAAAATCAAGAACGTCCTCCATTGGATTTTTTTTCTGCAATTTTCGACAATCAACATTCTGATGACGAGAATGCTGATGAACAAGAAGTAGAAGAAAAAAAGACAGATGATATACTGAAACCAATTAATCCACAAAGTTCTATTGTATCAAATCCTTCCATCACAAAACCATTAGCATCATCATCGTCAATAACATATCAAAGTGATCATTCAGATAGTTCCGATTCTAGTATTGAAGAAATTGAAGTTTCAGGTAAAATACAAATATTACTCTTTTGTCTATTTTCTTTTTGTTTTCTAAACTATTAGATAGATCATCTTTTGTTTATGGACCAGCTATTCCCAGTAATCTTCCATCTCGTTCCAAAACAGATCATGATAATTCAAGTAAGCTATTTACATTTATATATTTTGTGATTGTTTTCTTTTTCTAGTATGGACTAAATTAGCAAATACAAATGCACAATATGAAGAATTAAAAAATAAGAAAAAACATAAGAAAAAGAAAAACCATCATAAGAAGGTTTGATTTATTTTAATAATAGATTAATAATTTATTTTTTTATTTTTTTCTAGAGTAAAAAACATCATCATTAATACATATATGTGCTTTGTAAATATTTTACATAAAAAATAAAATAAAACAAAAACTATCAATTTTCAAAACTATTGAGAATAAAAATTGATTAGTAAAATCTATATATTCAATTATCAAGCATTTATTTATTATTACTAATAGTATAATCTTACTTGTCGAACGAATATCAACCGAAAAGATATATTGTAAACTCTTGTGAAATATTATCAGTTTGATTGACTCGTATCATTTTATTATAATGATTATATGAGTAGAAGGAGTTGATGATGTGAATTATTGTATAATAAAACAAGAGATTTTCTCATGAAAGTGTATGATAACAATGTACTATTTATCAAGCAATTTCTCATTGTACAATAGCCATTCGATTTTAATACCAGAAGATGGGCGACATCATTGGATGTAGCCATACTGATGATATAAAAACGTCGTTCAGACTGCCACATGTCATCGATATGTATAATCAATATTAGTTGATCTTTATATCGTTTCTAGCATGTAAATTAAGATTAGTGGCGGTGCCATGAGGAAGTTGAGTTTCTCTAAACCAACTGAGTTATAATCATGAAGTCTACCCTAGATTCAGGTATCGTAGACTAGGGTAGAGTCAAGCATTTGTTTCCCTTTTCAACAGATTAATAGATTTATGCAATGCATCGAAATTCTTATACAAATGTCAAAATTTTTCATCACCACCGGTGACAAATACTAATATTGTCGTAGTAAAACAGACTTAGACGACGTTCTGGAAGAAACATTTAATTTTGTATGATTCAATATATTGCCCTACATTGTCAATGACTTGAAGTAGTACTCCTTTGAAAAAAACTGAAGAACAACTGTACCGAAAATTCAAGTTAGACAAACTAAAAACTTTCGAAACTTTTCTGCGCCTTTAGTTACTAAGCTTACATGTCTAAGAAATATTTTCAACAAAGTAAGCAAATTCACAATATATTACCTTATTTTATTGTGAACACTGCTGCTTCGCCATTACTCTGTTTTCCAGTAAAGTAGATTGAAAACTCTTCTTTTGAGAGTCTACGCATCAAAACCTGACATTTCGTGACGCGATGATCTCGACAACTAAAACTCCGAAAGTAGTCGTTGAAACGGGAGATTCCAGTATCGAGATCGAACCGATAATATCTTTTGAGTTCATCTCCAAAGCACCTTCGGATTTCTCACAAATCACTTCCAAAAAGGACAAATTTTTGAGGACTTTGTGTTTTGTTTATTTTGAGATAATTAAAACGAAAATGAAGAGAAAAGTTAGGCGCCATTGTCTTTCTTCATATATCAAACAGCTGTAATCACAGCTGATTGTAGATAATGAATCATATAGATAGTTAAACGATCAATCAAAATCGTTGTTCAGAAAAGTGTTCATAGGCTTTCATAGAGTTCTCGTGTCGATGAATTTTATTATGGTGCTTTTCAATTTTCTCGCGACTAATATCAGTTGACTCGCAAAAAAGTAATTTTTCGAATTCGAATGATACCAAGAAGTGTCTATGTTTGATAGTCTGTACACGATTCAACTAGAAATGACGATTGCTATTGACTCGACAATCGAGTTTTCGTTTTCTACGAAGTACACTTTTTTCGAAAACTCGAGATATTCGTGCTTCGCACTGCATTTCGTATTCGAGTCGAAACTCGAATACCATCTAGTTTGAATTTCTTTTAAATGATATAGAACTGTTCGAGATTGATTTCATCGATAATATTGAATAATTACAATTATTCAATATAAAAGAATAATTCGAATAACCAACATCGACCATATCCTTCTTCATAGGAAAAGGCCCTAGCCACTATCCATAGGATATCCTAGTCCATAATCACCCAAAGTTGGATGTATTTCCGAGTTATATTCGATATGGGCCACTAAAATCTCCACTAGATCAAATGGCCATATCTTCCCATTTATCTAATTCATAGAAAAAAACAATAAATTCTAAATGTTTAGCACTTTTTAATAAACGTGATATAAATATTGGATTATAATCATTTCTTGTTATATAACAATATCAGCTACATATAATACATCAAACGATACAACTAACCAATCTAATTGATATTTTCTTCTGACATATAATATTTGCGAATATATCCGTGTAAATGGCACACGTCTAACATCGTTCTCATGCCCATATTTAAATCAAGGTAAAATTTTGAATATAATTTTTACCCACTCTTCACACAAATTTTCATTTTAAATGTTTTCGAAATTAAAAATAATATCTCAATGAAAATATTAAATATATATTCCAATATAAATATATCAATTTCGATTTCAATCGATGACTAGTAACATCATTTAGATGCCATTTGACATATATAGGATAAAGATATCTTTAAATCATTATACATAATATTGTTGATTTGTCATATGAGATAAATTCCAATATATATCTACATGAAATAAATTATTTCATTTAAAATTATCAATATATTTATTTATCTATTTATTTCTATAAAATTCGGAGTTTTGAGCGACAAATTCTGTCAAACTCTTTTTGTTCTTTCATTTTCATTCGTTTATATCTCGAAAAGAACCAAACTTTTTTTGTCATATTATGACTCGATGATCTCAAGAAGTAGGCATCTGTACATAGTCGTTTAAACTCAGGAGCCCAGTATCTATATCGAATCCATAATATCTTTTAGATTCATTCATAAAGCACATTCAATTTTCTGATAAACTCCTTCCAAAACTAACAATTTTAGACAGTTTGACGGTTTTTTTATTTTAGTACAATAAAAACGGAAAACAAACGAAAAGTTAGAAACCGTTGTCTTTCTTCATACGTCTAATAGTTATAATTACAAATGCTTACATATAATGGATTACATAGATGGATAAATCATCAATTGAGATGTTCCATTTTATCACGATGATCTTGAGAACGGAAACTTCAAAAACAATTGTTCAAACAGAAAGTACGAGTATGTGGATCGAACTCATGCCATCTATTAAGTTCTTCTTTAAAGCCTTCTCAGTTTTCTCAAAAATAGTTTCCAAAAATGACAAATTTTCCAACAATTAGCTAGTTCTTCATTTTGAGATAAAAAAATTCGAAAATACAAAGCTATGTGAGATGCCACTCTTCTCTTTCTCATATGATAAACAGCTGTGAAAAAAACAACTCATGATAGATAATGAATCACAGAGATAATTAATCAATCAATGAAAATCTTCACTCAGAAGATTTTTCAACGACATTCATAGAGTTCTCGTAGTGATGAATTTTATAATGGTATCTTTCAATTTTCTCACCATTTGTATCAGCTCATTCGCAAAAAAACAACGAATTTTTCCAATTCTAGTGATATAGAACTGCCAACATTGCATAGTGAATACACAGTTGTAGTACAAAATGACGATCATGATATATTGAAAAATCGATTTCTTGTTTTCAAAGAAATATCGTTTTTTTCGAAAATTCGAAAGATTCGTGCTTCGCACCGCATTTCGTATTCGAGGCGAAACTCGAATACCATCTAGTCTTAAATGAGTACTGTTATTCTTTTTAGTCTACTTATTAAATATGGAATAGAATTAAATAACATACCATCTTGTGTAGAACTTCTAGCGCTACCTTTTGATAAAAAACGCTTTAATCACGCAGGTAATAGAGAAGACATCTTAAAAATACACAGAGGTCGGTTCTTTATGGGCCAACCATTATTCACTGGAAAATTATCAAATATGAAAATAAATATTTCTTTTAAATTTAATTAATTTTTGTTTAGATATTTTTTTTTTCTTTCTTATTAATTCTATTTCCACTAATATTTTACTTTTTCTTATGTTTATTCAAAGCATAAAAGATTTTACTCTTCATCTAAGTTATTTACTATATTCTTACCATCTTTTAATGAACAAGACCATAAGTTTTTTCTTTCAATCAAGTAAATACAAAAAAACATCTGAATAAAATGAGAAAATAAACGTTTTTCAGTTGCTAATGCTTCATTTTGTTAATGCCTCATTTGATTTTTCAATTGCTTGGTGTGTTAATAACGATCCATTTAAATATAAATTCACCATTGTAGGCATAACATCATTGATGATGGTAATATCTTGAGGAAAATCCATTTGCAAATATTCAATACATTGTCGTGTAAATGTTTGACAATTTAATGTACTTGACCATTTAGCACTTCCATTTAATCTACATAACGGAACGTGCACATTTGCAATCAGCCGATGCTCGATTTCTTTTGCAAAATGATTTGGTGTAGGAAATGCTTGAATATCAGCTAGTGGAATTTTTCCAACTTTCTTCACTAACAATGGAGGTGTGTGTGTTGATAAGCGAAAAGATGGCACATATTTGTGTCAAATGATAGCTCTCATCGCCAAACTAACAAGGTTAAAATACTAGCTGCCCATGGCGTCTCTAGAGAGAGATATTAGATTTTTACGGTACTCAAAATTTAGGTATATAGGAACATTATGAATTATTTACATTAGTTTTTCATGCCATGAACTGAGTATTTCAATAGTAGACAACAAGAATTTTTCTGAAGTTTATCAATATCATTAATATCACATTAATTTCGATATCTTCTATAAGCTAAGTAGTATCGAAATCAAAAAATATATATGATGTGTTTGAAAAATAACTTGCACATATATAATAATTATATGATCTTAAAGTGCATTGATGCATCACTTTGTAGTCTATTGACTACTTCTTTACAATTGATGTCAATAAATCACAAATAAATACGCTATCGAGGAATTAATCTCTTTTATTTTCTACCGTATCAACCAGTTAAAAAGGCTTATTTCATCGAATTAAAACATGAATTTATCGAACATAGCTAAACATCTTCTCTATTTGGCTAAAAATGAATATGGATCTAAAAATTCTGCAACAACTACCGATGAAATTTTTACTGCAGAACGATTATTCGAAGTTTTGAAGTCATTTAAAAACAGTTACTTCAATGAGTTCTATACTTATGATACTCTCGAATTTAACGGTGAATATGATGAAGTGACTGATGAAGAAGAGAGCGATGATAAAATTGATGATTACAGTGAGAATGAAGATTCTGACATAAAAAATTGTTTTACATTAGAAGAAATGGAAAATATAATCGAATGGGTTGACCAACATCCAAATGTAGGAATTGTTTCTATTTCACATCGATTTAGAAAGGTCAAATACATGTATTATATTACAAGGTTTAAACAATATATCGAAAACAACGGCACAAGATTAGAAAAATTAAAGCAAATGAAAGAATTTATGTTTAATCAATTTTATCTGAAAAGAACAATTGAAAAAGAGGCCATTCATGATGATAATCTTGAACTTTATGCAATTCAAAAAGCAAGATAATTAAATTGGGATACATTCAAGGCAAGCAAATCGTTTATCAATGATTTTAAAAGAGAAAACGGAATATCATCAAGAAGATATGACAAAATCATTACTCGAACGAAATCAAACAGAAAAATATGCAGTTTAAATGGTATGTAATATTTTGTTTGGTCTTTAAATACGTTCTTAATGTAATATGTATATTTTAGATGCTCAAAATTGGATTGAAAGTAAAAGGACCTTAATATCAAAGTATTCTTCTTACCAAATTTTAAATAGTGATCACTGTTCATTTCAGTAAGAATATATTCTATCAAGAGCACTTTCTTTTACTGGTGAAAGAACAACAGAAGTGACTGTTAAAAAGAAATATAATACAACACATTCTTTTACAGTCCAACCTGTTACATCAGCCGACGGTCATTTATTAGACAAGTTCTTGCTTATTCTTCAAGAAAAAGGAAATACATTTGGTAAAAATGTGCAAAAACATTTAATTGTACCACCAAACATTGTAGTTAAAGCTTCAAAATCAGGAAAAAGCAGCAATGAAAAACAGACTGCTTTTTTACATGAAGTTTTACGTCCTTTGGTTGGTAAAAAAGTTCTTCTTTTCCTTGATTCTTGGAAAACTCAAACTGATCTAACAAAATTTAGAGCAGGATTTCCTAATCAAGACAGTCAATTATTGATTTTTCCTGAAGGATCAACAGGTTATATTCAACCACAAGATCTTTCTTTATTTCGTTCATGGCGATTTATTCATGAAAAAATCGAACATTACGTTCATATCAATCAAGTAGAAATGACCATAAGTGATCGTTAATATTTCATCAACATACATTCTGTTATTCACAATCAATTATCAGCTCCACAATTCAAAAATCTCATTAAGAATGGATTTATACACGCACAAATAATAAAGGAAACAATTGGACAGATTGAAAAGCCAAAAGATGTTTGCTTCAAGTTTTACGATCTATACTGTTCAACTAACTATTGCAATGAAAGAACGCTATTAATGTGTGCCTGGTGTAGAAAAGCTCTTTGCTACCATCATTTGATTGAAGATCTACGTCTGCACTTATAACACATTAATTTAAATAGTATATTAAATAGTATGTTGTTTTCAGTTGAAATAAAATTGAAATTATTGATAAGTTAAACGTTTCTATCACTACTAGCTGGTATTCATGTACAATATTTCGATACTACTTAGCTTATAGAAGATATCGAAATTAATGTGATATTAATGATATTGATAAACTTCAGAAAAATTCTTGTTGTCTACTATTGAAATACTCAGTTCATGGCATGAAAAACTAATGTAAATAATTCATAATGTTCCTATATACCTAAATTTTGAGTACCGTAAAAATCGAATATCGCTCCCTAGAGACGCCATGGGCAGCTAGTATTTTAACCTTGTTAGTTTGGCGATGAGAGCTTTCATTTGACACAAATATGTGCCACCTTTTCGCTTATCAACACACACACCTCCATTGTAAGAAATAATGATCCCATATTCGAATTTTAAACATAGAATCTATATAAGTCGTATGATCAGTTAAACTCGCCACGTACAAGTCAATATGAGTCGCAACGAATTTAGTTGTTGTCGACGATCCTATAATAATAGTTGATAAAATTAAACATTAAAAGTATTATTTTCAATACCAGTAACATCAATGGCTACCGAAAAATGTTTTCTTTTTTCGATTTCACATTTTTTATCTTCTTCGTTCGGCTTATGTATCACAATATAAACTGAACCAGCTTCTGTAACATCGTTGAATTCAATTGGACAAAGCATATCAGGTCGAGATATATTAATTTTGTCATGTCTTATTCCCATATAAATTCAATTAAGAATTAATTTAATATCTATAATGAGAAAAGAGTACATATAATATTCATTAAGAACAGTTTTTTTCATTATCTAATATCAAAATTTTCTCAATAAATAATGTTAAGACAAGACAACAAAAACAACAAATTTTTAATCTTTATAGTTATTGATAACAGAAACGAATGAATCCTTAAACGATAATATAGATGTCACACTCAGAGCTGCCAACAGGCCACTTTTTTCCGGCCTGGCCTGGCCTGCTCTAACTTGGACAGGCTGCCCTGTCAGGCTAAAAATTAAAGATCATCCTGCCGCCTGGCCTGGCCTGGACGGACGGGCAGGCGAAACCAGGCTGACTGATATTTTAGAATTCTTTGTTTCATTGATGGTTGTATGGATCTTTTCATATTGCCCACAACAGATGAGTGTTGTTTCATATAGGCCGTTCCGCTGTGTTGTCCATAGCAAAGTTTTTCACATATTCGACAACTTGCACGTCCGACAACTCGTTCAAAAATCACTTGTGTCTGTGTTGAGTTTAGATAAAGATTCGAGTACAGACTAATAAATGGAAATAGCTGATGACGCACTATTATCAATAATACGGTAATTTTCTGTCTGATATCTTAATAAATCCTATAGATGCTCACTAGAGTATGACGACGAATTTAAAGAAGATGGTGATGAAACAATTGCGTTTGAGAATACGTTAATTACAGATGTTCAGGGTAAGCATTTTCCGTACCCTAACCTTACCGCAAGAAAATTTCTTTAACCTTAATCCTGTCCAACCCTGTCCCAGCCTTTCGGATTAGGAGTGATGGAGAGTCTTTCTTCGGCAAAAATTGGAAACTTGTGTGTTTTTCTGCAAAAATTTCTGATACTTTCTGCCAAATTTCTTAAAATCACGTAGTAGATTCTGACAGAAACATGGTTTTCAAGAAATATTCACCGTTTTCCAACAGAAAGTCTAATGAAAACACGTTTTTTCCTGCAAAATCTCACAGAAAACTGATGATTTTAACATCCACTGCTCGGCTTCCTCCGAAAAAGCCAGATCAGACACTTTCTGCCAAAATTTTCAGACTTTCTGGCGAACTTTTAACCCCTCCCATGTCTCAAAACAATCGGGAACCCTGTCCTGTCCGGATCAAACCTTAACCCTGTGTTATCCTATTATCTTTGACAGTAGTCCTATCCTGATCCTATCATATGGAGCTGATACCCTCATTCTACCCTACAAGATAGAATAGGATGAAGTTACCCTGCATATCTCTACTTCTTTTTTGTATAAATGCACTCTGATCTTAATCTAGTCTCTGAACCTCTCACCTCAACCCTACCCTAACTTATCGGTTTTTCACCCAATCCTACTCTACCCGGTAAGGAACGGCGAAACAGGGTTACTCTGCACATCGCTCATATTAATAGATGAAGAAAAAGATGATGATGAAGCATTTGTATTTGAAGATGCTGGAATAGAAAAGGTAGAAGACGAAAACGATAAAATAAAAATATCATCTAATGACTTTATTTAACCGAACTTATTGCCTATTAAAAAAAACACAAAAACAAAACATGTTGTTGCTCTCCGACTACATAGAGGAATTGTTTCCACATTCCATTGAAATAAATTAGCCATACTTATTGCACTCTTTTTCGTATTTATTAGAATCATTCAGTCTTTTTATGTAATAGACTATTCACTAATCATAAACGACCATATCAGTGAACAAAATCATCAAGTTATGGCGTCATGCCATATTTTAAATTGACTTGAAGAATTAATACTACATGAGACCCAGGCTGATAACTTTCGCCTGGCCTGACCTGCATGCTAGGCCAGATATATTGTGGACGGATCAGGCCAGGCCAAAATTTTAAAATTCAGCCTGGCCAGGTGGCCTGGCCTGACAGGCCACCCGGCGCCTGCCAGGCAGCAGGCCAGGCGGGCAGCTCTGTGTCACACTTGACAAAATATAAAAGCATCACAGTAATGCACTTATTTTTTTACTTCATCAAATTTTTGTTTTTTTTTTTCTACTATCTATCTCTCTTCTTCTGAAAAAGAAGAATAATATGTGTTAAGTTTATTGAATAATAATCATTTAAAATTGATCTTAATCAACTTCAAGTAAATAATATATATAAATTTAATTAATTTATTTTAATTGAATAAAATTGTTTTTAAGGATCCATCGGGAATGTTTGAATTGATCGAAGTTGTTGAGAATAGAAGATATCGACAAATTTATAAAGTTACTGACTGAGATAAAAAACAACAAATTCATATGATTGATTAGAAAAAATAGCGCGCTATTGTTTCAAGTATAAAAATATTGTAACATTCAACAGTAAGTTTACTTTCAAAACAAGAAATAAAAGTAACAAAGATAATCTTAATCTAATCGATATCTGATTTATATAGAAAAAAAGAAACAATCATCAATTCATATGATGCATTTAACTGAATCGTCAAATAAATTCTTTCATGATATTCCAAATCCATTTGAACGACGTCAATTTGCTTTTCGAGTTTTACCCGAAGAAAAAGATCCAATGAGTCGAGCAAAAAATTTTTCATTTATCATGCCTACATTAAAACTTCGTCTTCAACAATTAATAACTACAAATTTATGGGAATATATTATGTTCATTTTATCTATTTGGTCATTTATTTCTTTATTAATTGGACATAAAATACCCGAAATGAGAATATTTTTCGAACTTACACATGAAATTACTCAAGGTTTGTAAAATTTTTCATTTATAAAAATTATTAATAAATATCTAATATTCTAGCGGCATTATTTATTGAAGTATTTTGTAAATTATATGCTGATGTTCGTTGGTTTTTTTATGATATTTGGAATTTTTATGATCTTATTTGTGTAATTGTTAATTCACCAGTTAGTCATATTTCTATCTCATCAAAACAAAAAAAATTTCTTTTTTCATCGTTGTTTTTTTAATTTATTAGTTTGTCTATAATCTTTTTGTATCTGATTATCTTGGTGTACCACAAATCAATAGTATTCAAAGACTTTTTCGTACATTACATGCTATTCGTTTAATACGTATTCATAGTCTTTTACGATTTGTTCTTGAAACAATTTTTATTGCTTTATCTAGTATCTATAATATATTATTATTAGAATTTGTTATTGTGACAGTTTTTGCATTACTTTCAATAGCTTTTGAAGGTGATACATCATTTTGGAATTCAGGTACATATGAACCATATGAAAATTATACTGAAGCTCTTTATTCATATTATATGTGTATTACATTGGAAGGTGTTAATGAAGTAGCTGAACAAATTTTACAATTAGATTCACCACAATTTACAACTGTGATTGGATTAATATTTTATATATTTGCTGCTTTAGCTACATATAGTGTAGGACAACTTCTAGCAGGTATTCTGAAAAAGTAAAAATTGTTTCTTTTAGATTATTGTTCACTAGTAAAAGTATTAGTTTATTTTTTATTACTCTTTATAATAAAGAATAAATATAACTTTATACTTATAAAATAATCTTTTCTGAAAATTTAATTTTTACCAGGGGTAGTTCATAGGAGTTTATGATATGATAGATACAAATAAAATATACAGAAATTTCTTTTTTTTTTGTACATATTTATATATATATATATCAGCTTTATTTTTTGTAATAATATTACATATCGAACTGATGCTGATAATAAGAAAGAATATTGATTAACATATCCTTTTGTTATACTAGGCATTTACCTATTTACCTATCACAGAAAGAAATCTTTCTTTAGTTTTTACTTTATAAAAATAAAGATTGTATTTATAAAGCAAGGATAAAGTAACATCCCTATTCACTCGGAAAAAAAACCGATAATTTTTTGGTATCTAACTTTCTCCTATTCCTCTTACATAATCAGGGCCAGAGAAGGTTGTTAGTGTAAAGAAAAAAATCCTGGAATATCAATCATCAGTCATAGTT